CGTTTTGTTTCTTAAACTCCACGTATAGTGAAATCATATGATACTTATCTTTCTCTGACTTATTTCACTTAGCACGACACACTCTAGTTCCATCCACATTGTTGCAATTGGCAAGATTTCATCCTTTTGATCACTGAGTAATATTCCATTATATATATCTTCCATTATATATTATACCTATTATATATTACAGAGTGTGTGTATATATATATATACATTATATATTATATCTCCTTTATCCATTCCACAGTTGATGGACGTTTGGGCTCTTTCCATACTTTGGCTATTGTCGATAGCGCTGCTGTAAACATTGGGGTGTGCGTGTTCCTTCGAATCGGCATTTTTTGTGTCCTGCCACCAAGCCTTTCTCAGGTCATGGGCGTGTCGACCCTCCTGACTGTCACCTTGATGGTTGCGTGATTTCCCTCCAAGGGAAGGTGTGCCAGGGCTGGTGAAAGGCTTTCAGGGAGAGACTCAGAACCAGGAGTCCCCTGCGCCTCCGCCCACCCCTCCCCCACCTCCGGCCCCACTCCCTCTTCACCTCCTTCCGGGCGCGCTCCTCCTCCAAGGGGATGGTGTCGTGGTTCTTGTGTTCCTCCAGCAGGCAGGCCCCGCACACGCAGCTGCCTTCCGTGCGGCAGTACAGCCGCCGCAGCTTGCGGTGCTTCCGGCACAGGCGGCTCTTCAGATCCCACACGGGCTCCAGCAGCTGGTGGTCCTGGAACATCTGGTCCTCGAAGTGGCTGCTCAGGTGCTTCTCGCACAGGGAGGCCATGCACTGCAGACACGACTTGACTGACTTGAGCTTCTGGGGGGAGCAGAAGTCGCAGGGCACGTCCCTGGGCCCGGCCAGGGTCCGTGAGGGCCCCAAGGCCTGACCCTTGACCTGGATGAAGCAGGTCACCATCTCCTCCAGGATGACATTCTTGCAGAGGCGTGGCCTGGAGGGGAAGCTCTCCCGGCACTGGGGGCAGTACAGGGTCTCGCCTGTGGTAGCCAGGTGGTCCCAGAAACCTTGGAGGCAGGTCATGCAGAAGTTGTGCCCGCAGGCGGTGGTGACCGGGTTGCGGAACACCTCCAGGCAGATGGGACAGAGGACTTGGTCCTCACATGTGTGGAGACTGCTGTTACTCATCAGGAGCTGAGCCTGGGAAGGTCTTGAGGGCTGGGCCGGGGGCTGCGGGGCTGGGCTGTGGTCCTGGACTGGCCCTGAGAAGATAGAGCAAAGGCATGAAGAAGCCAGGGCAGGAGCTGAGGGGTCTTGGAGGGGCACACCGCTCCTTCTCATAGAAGCAGCTTCTGCCCATGGGGTACAGAGACCATGTCATTGGTCAACCAACCTGGGGGGAGGGGGCAGGGCATAACGGGGATTGTGTTCTCTGTGTCCCAGCCCTGACTCCTGCAACAAACCTTGGACAAGCAAGAGGGTGGACAGAGGAAGTCACATTGACGTAAAGGAAAGGAGCCAGTTCTTTGGCCCTTCGGAAGGAAGGCAGGAAGCGCAAGTACTTACGTGAAACTTTCTGCATGTCAGGGAAGGCTAGAGGCTTGGTTGCCCTGTGGTGGGACAGAAAAGAACCCCCAGGCACTTAGGTGCAGGGGACTTGCCCTGGTCCCACTTCACCAGCTGTTGGGAGGGTCCCCATCGGGGGGGGAGGGGTCCCTGTGTGCCCCCACCCCGGCCCTCTCCATCTCCTGGGATCTGATGACCATCTTCTCACCTTTCCCTTCGGCTGCTGTTCTGTTATCTCCCTATCAAGTTGGCCCCCCTCCTCGAAGACTACCCCCAGTTTTGTTCCCTGACATCACAATTCAAGTATGCCCAGACCCCAGCATGCTGCTTGTGATGTCAGTAGGGCAAAAGGTGTGCCACCGGACGTGCAACGGGTGCTGACGTGTCCTGCCTCTCTGTGGGTGACTCTTCACTCCAGAGCAGTGTCGCTGATGCACCTGGAGCCACTTGCAGTGGACCTAAGGGACTCACATTAGGGACTGGAGAGGAAAATGGGAACAAAGTGACGGTAGGCTCTTGGGCAACTCTTTAATGCGTCTGGACCATGGTTCTTTTCTTGTGAATTGACAGGGTTGTTTTAACGATATTCCAAGGCCTCTTCTTGGTCTAAAGTTGAACGATCAACACTATCTGATTGGTGATTCTCAAGACTGTTGCTTCCACTCTGATTCTGATCTTCAGAAGGAGAAAATGGATGAGCGAAGCAGAAGAGGGACTCTCCTGGCTCTGTGATTGCTTCCTTGTCGGTTTCTGTTTCCTTTTCTCCCCCACCCAACAGGATAAATGCCCTGAAAAGCCTGCAATACATCACCGTCTTGCTCCAAAACATTAGAGTGGCCCTGTTTGTTGGCTAGAAATGGTAAATAGAAGGCATCTCCTTTCCCCATCTTAGAAGAAACATTTTCAACATTTCTCCGTTAAGAATGATGTTTGTGGGGTGCCTGGGTGGCTCAGTGGGTTAGGCATTTGACTCGACTTCAGCTCAGGTCATGATCCCCTGGTTCGTGAGTTCAAGCCCTGCATCAGGCTCTGTGCTGATGGTGCAGAGCCTGCTTAAGATTCTCTCTCTCTCTCCATCCCTCTCTCTCTCTTTTTTTTTTAATTTTTTTTTAATGTTTTGTTTATTTCTAGGAGAGACAGAGAGACAGCGTGAGCAGGGGAGGGTCAGAGAGAGAGGGAGTCACAGACTCTGAAACAGGCTCCAGTCTCTGAGCTGGCAGTCAGCACAGAGCCCGATGCGGGGCTCGAACCCACGAACCGCGAGATCATGACCTAAGCGAAAGTCGGACGCTTAATCGACTAAGCCACCCAGGCGCCCCTCCCTCCCTCTCTCTCAAAAGAAATAAAATATACAACAAAAAAGGCTTCTGATAAATTCCTCTTAAAAACAAAATACTCTTTTCTCCATGTTTTATATTAGAAATCATTAACAGAAAAATGACATACACACATTCTGGTATATGAGACATAGACTCTGAGCAGTCAGGTTTGACTTGGGGAAAAGAAATACAGAGGAGGGAATAGCCACAAAAGAAAGCCCACAAAGGCAAAAGGTACAGCCCATAAGGGCAGGCAAGAGCTAGAATTAGGTTGAGTTAAATTTCCATGGTAACATCTCATAGAAAACAATGATCTTAATAAAAATATTTTAGGGTAACAATGAAAATAAAAACAAAACTGAGAAACAATTTAACGGCAATGAATAGTAAACTCATCAGGGAATTGGGCTGCGTGGGTGGCTCAGTAGGTTGAGCGCCTGACTCTTGATTTCAGCTTAGGTCACAATCCTACTGTTCATGAGCTTGAACCCCATGTTGGGCTCCATGCTGACAGTGTGGATCCTGCTTGGGATTCTCTCTCCTCCCTCTCTGTTCCTACCCCGCTCATGCACTCTCCCTCTCAAAATAAATAAACTTGAAAAAGAAAAAACTCATCAAAGAATGAATGGGGCTTACTGGAGTTATAGTTCACTCCAAGGGAAAGCTTTACTGATGAAAATCTATGTGGTGGGATTCTTATTAAAAACTTAGCTCTGGGGTGTCACCTGGGCTTTATGACGGAGTGGCTTCAGCAATACTCAAGTGAATCTCTTGCCAAGGCTGATGCTGTGTGGAGCCTCCAGCAAGCCCTGACTGGGGAATCACCATGCAGAACTCCAGGCTTTTGGAAAACACCCCTGCCTTCTTTTGCAAATAACTCTTCTTTTGCAAGCCAGCTACCAAACCACGGGACATCAAGTGACCATGAGGCCTGAACCTGCAATGCACTAGGTGTTGCCTAACCTACCAAGCCAGTTTGAGGAGTAGTCAATCCAGCCTGGAAATGGATGTGACTCTCAGACCGGGAACACTGACCTTTGGCACTGTTTCACACTGGGGAGAGGACAAGATCACCTTTGTGTGACGAGTAGCTGCATCTTGTTACGTAGAGGCATGGAGCTGTTTTTACCGTTTAAGTTCAAATATACAGAGAAGTGTGTATATGGATGCGGAGCAGCCCAAGATGGGGCAGAGGTGGCTGTTATTAGGTCTCAGCTCCAAGCCGCCCTCCAGACTCTGCTCTGTGCGTCTTTAACAGGTCATTCGCAGACAGGTGCACCCATGGGGAACGTGAGAGGGAGACTGCAAGGCTGGGGGCAGGGGTGCGGAGGGGAAGAAGGGACATGCTTCTTCCTGTTGCTTATGGGAGACACCACAGCACCGCAGCCTCGCTCTGGCAGCAATGGCTGGGTGCCGGAGTCTTGTGGTCCCAGAGCCCGCCTTGCTGGGCCCCCCCGCCCCCCCCCCAGGCGGGAGCATGTCCTCTGTGCGGCCCCTCCTCCAAGCCTGTTACATTGTAATAATCCCACCCTCTTCCTTCTGCTCCCCTGTCCCCGGAGCCCTGTGTCCTGCAGTCACTCCATCTGTGACACCTCCGTGCCCCTGGGGGCCTTTTCCTCCTCTTACCACTTGTCAACAGCTGCTGTGGTCTGTCCCCCATTGGACCCTGGCTGGTACAAATATACAGCTTGTTCGCTCCGTGTGTGTGTGTGTGTGTGTGTATATCTCCCTGGCTGTAAGCGCCCTATTGGGGGTGGGGAACTAACATCTTTTGAGGGTCCCACGCCTTGCCTGGTGCCTTAAGTGACCAACACCTGGCTTGCTGGTTACTCATTTCACCTCCCTTTTATTCCTCTTCTTCTACCTTGCAGAGAAAATGGGCACCTAGTCACTTACTCTCTTCCAGGAAGACTTTTTCCCCCCTTAAAAATGGTCTCCTACTCTTCCCCTTCTCGGCCCAGCTCCCTGGTGGGCAGACCATCTGTCTCCCCTTCTGTCCCTCACCACTCTCCCAGTACTGAGGAGGAAGGCCCAACACCCCCTCAGGCAGTCTCGGCAGCAGGAGAGAGATGAGGACTTTCTAAGCAGCTGCGGTGGGGCAGGTGCCGTGAAATTCATCTCCTGAGAACAGTTTGAGAACCATCAGTGGTGACAGGAAACCAAGGAGATTCAGATGTTTGTGTCTTGTCTTTATTGACAAAAAAGGGTCACAGCATTTCAGACTTTATTCAAATACACAAACAGTAACAAACAATACCCACAAGTGACAGGCATGGTCCCTAACCTCTGCACCCAAAGGCCATGTCGGAGTTGGCCAACCCCCAGCATCTCTGTCCCTACCCCCCCACACCTTGCTGACACCCCTGAGATCAGTTAAGACTGCAGAAACGAAGTCACTCTAGAGGAGGCTGGGCCACGCCTCGCTGCCAAGGAGAAAGCAGGTTCTGAGAGACAGAAGCGCGCTATCATGGCATCTCCTAGGAGAGGCCGGGCTGCTTCGTGAGCTGGGCCTGCATTGCCCGCGCCCTCAGGCCTGGGCACGTAACGAAGAAGACGCTCACCACCCAGCAGCACTGGGCTGCTGGAGAGAGCATGGGTCACTGGACATGTGACAGCCCCAAACCGATGGCCATGCCTCCCTCTGAAGTCATCAGCTGGGAGGAGAAGGCTTTCAGTAATTAAAAAAAAAAAATACTGACTTGGTTCATAAAAGGCTGGGGTGAATACTTTTCCAGAAACCTTAAGAACTGAATCGTCCTCAGATTCAGGAGCATTGGAATAAATGTCATTGGGTGGCCTCATGAAAGCCAGCCCTCTAGGGGAGCAGAAATATCACTTGTGTTGGTTTCTCAGAGCACCGAGCGAGGGGCTCAGCACTCTTTCTACAGGATCCACTGGGGGACTCTGCAAAGACAAATGACTACGTGTTCCTGAGGGGCTTGGCCTCTGCCCTCTGGCCCACCTCGCTTCATCCCTCCGTGCAGGCTTGGGAGCATGGGGAGCGCAGGCTGATGCCCCAGGAAAAGCAGATCTGATTGGGCTCAAGGCCCCAGATGCAGCCACTTTCCCTCCGTAGAGTCAAATGTCACTTTTTGGACTTGGCCAAAGGGCAAGTCTTCTAGGGTCCTCTGTCCTACTCAGGTCAGTCCTACTCAGGTCAGAGAGGCTTTTCCTTGACACGTGCCATCTTGTGCTTTCCGAAAGATGACAGAAAGATGCCTGCGACCTTTTTGAAAGATGACTGCTTCTGCTGCAGGTAGAAGTTCCTCTAACGTTTATAGCTGTAGAAATCGTAGGCATTAGGCCGGAATACAAGGTGCCAATGTCAACATGCACGTTCACGTTGGTGTGTAGACACACACATATCAGCAGACACCCTTGTACACACTTTTCTATCCCGCTCTACACACAGAGATAAGGTCAGAGTGAGAATCCCGGAGAAGAGTTACACCATCTGCACACGGGCAGGTCACGAGCTCATAAGACATTTGGCATCGTCTGTGAGTCATTTCCAAAAATTACAGCCCCACACCCACCTAGTAAGCATAGAGCTGTGGAGCAGAGAGAACCTCACTGCGAAGGAAACCAGGAGTGACTGACGTGAGGTGGCTCTTACAGGTGCAGAGGTCCCCAGGGGCACCTTCTCTGGGCCATTTGCCACACTAGGAAAAGTCATTGAAGGAAGAATAAGGATTCTCCAGCCCTTTGCGTTCAGTGACTGCTCACTAAGGCTCAAAAGCTCAGAGAGGAGGCCCAGATACAAGCTCTGTGGTCCCAGGGCTTTACTCCCCTCCTTGGTCAAACAAGCACTTGATTCTCGAGGACATGGCACTCTGTAGATAGAAGTGGCGGGAAGGGGTTGGGCTCAGAGACGCGGGGAGTCCTCAGACTGCCCAGCAAACACATACACCCCACTGGGGCTGGTGTGGGGCCACGGCCACGGCCACAGCCGCGGGGCAGGTTTGCCAAGGTTAGAAACCAAGGGACGGGGACGGGAACAAATATCGAACGTTCAGTCAAGGCATTTCCAAGAGACAATCACAGAAATAACAACACTTGGAAACTACAACAGAACACATTTGGCAACTTTCAAAGAAATAGCTGTCCCCACCCGGGCCATCAGAGGATCCAGAGTCCCTTTATCTTAGGTCCAGTTCAAAAAGTCAGGGAAGGAAGATGGGCCAACGGAGGGTGAGCAAAGGCTGCAGACCAGTGACACCGGCCTCCTGCAGCTCCCATGTGTGTGTGACACAGCGTGGGATGCCGCCTGCCTCGAACCTCCACCTGAGAAAGCAAGCTACCGGACGGTCCGGGCTGCTGAGGGCGGGTGAGGTGGGGATGCACACGGCAGCTGAATGCCCCGAACCCAGAGCAGCGATCCCCAACCTCCACCTGCAACCAAGGATGCCCTGTCCTCCCCTTCCTCAAAGAGGGTCTGTCCACAGGAACATGGGGGATTCTGCTGACTCGCTCCTTTACCCAAAACCTCAATTCGACAAACTGAAGCTAGAATCCTTGGCATCTGCTGCATCTGTGTGGAGTGCGGGCAGGACGGGGAAGAGTGTTACAAAGTGGCTGCCAACATCCAACGTGGCACCCAGGCGCACTCACGGCACAGCCCAGGGACGATCCTCTGTAGCTGCTGCGGCGTCCCCGAAGCACAGGCGTGTACAAGGACCTAGGCCTTCCTCTTCCCTTCCCCCAGGTTCCCCGTTAGGGCTCCCACTGGGAGCCCAGCCCAGCTGCTGTGGTAAGGATTTGTTCTAACACTGGCTAAGAAGACAAAAGCAGGTTTCTGAAAAGGTATTCTGCGGCCGGAAGTTGTGTCTGTCTTCATGTTCCTGGGGTGGGTGGGTGGAGGGGGGAAGGGCAGGGGTTCCTTTGGTTTTGACCAGAACACTTCTCCACTGGGGGGCCAGGCTCAGCTTTGCCTTGCAGGAGCTCGGTTACTGTACAGGAGCAAGAGTTAACTTCACGAGGTGCTCTGCCGGCTCTTGATGGTTAAGAATCTGGAATTTACATCCGAGATCCCCTCTCCTGTAGAATCTGCAAGTGGAAGATGGGAGAGACGGCTGAGGCTTGGGCTGGGGAGCCAAGCAGACTACTTTCAGGCTGAGGAGCCAAACAGACTGCTGAGGGAAAAGGGACTCGCAGCTGCTTTCCAGACCGCTGAGCAGCACAACAATCCTGTTACCGCAGGAAGCTCGGCTGGGTTCAGCCCTGGCCTCCCCTGAGGCACTTCAGCTGGAAGAGCCTCTGGCCAACAGCACTGTGCCCTCTGCGTGCGTGCGTGCTGCCGGACCACTCCTCCCACACTAAAGGAAATGGTTCAGACGCACTATGCATTGCTGACTTAGAAGTGTGTGTGAGAGACAGAGAGAGATTCGGGGGGGGGGGGCCACAATACAGGAAAAAGCGGATAACTGTACAATTTTCCAGTAACTTAAGGTGGGGGAAGTCACAAAGGTAACCAAATACCTTTTCTCTTGAGACAGGACAAAAAAAGAGAGAGAATAGTTTCAAAGAATGAACACAAAATATTTTCCAATTTTAAGTTTCAGAATTCTCACTTTGCAATTCGATTTTTCCTTGATTTGATAGTGGGTACGTAAAGCCGACCCTATTTCAGTATCCACTTCCTAACTTAAAACTCTCGGTCCCTGCCCCATAAATCCTGATTTACTTATTTATTTACTTAAATGTTTTATTTATTTTTGAGAAAGAGAAAGAGAGAGACAGTGTGAGCAAGGGAGAGTCAGAGAGGGAGATACAGAATCTGGAATAGGCTCCAGGCTCTGAGCTAGCTGTCAGCACAGAGCCCGACGGGGGCTCGAACCCACGAACTGTGAGATCATGATCAGAGCCAAAGTCGGACGCTTAACTGACTGAGCCACCCAGGTGGCCCCATAAATCCTGATTTAAATTCCAACAGTCAATGACTAGAATAAAGGAAAAATGTGAACCTAGCTTTAGAAGGGAAGGAAGAAGCCAGGAGCAACCAACAGCCCAGGCCAAGCCCACCAAGGGGCTGGGAACAAACGAGTTGGAGACAAAATTCTAGTGACATGATTTCTTACCTTTGCCTTTTCGCTTGGCTCTATGACAATGCCATTGGTAGAATTATTGAGTTCTCTGGAGACAACACAGAGGAATTCGGCCTGATCCTCATTTCCATAGTTATAGGAAGATCCGATGCTGATTAGCTGACAAAACAAGAACATGGTGAAGTCCCCCTACAGTACTGAAGTGCCACACAGATCCAACCCTCCTCCTGACTGAACTTTGGGGTTTTGCTTCTCACAGGATGATGGGCCATCTGGGACTACCAAGGCCCAAGGGATAACTGGATCTGTGATTCACTAGCGCATCCTCGATGAGGCTTCCCCAGAAAGGAAGAGCACGGGTTCTGCCACTGTCCCCCACCCAGGCACTTGAAACAATCCGAAAGGCAGCAGCTAGGATTAACATGATCGTATTTCTTCCAGCAAACACTGAGGTGAAAGAGAAGGTTTGTGTGAATGAAAATGGACACTTGCTTCAGCCAAACACCTACACAGAGCTGGCTCATCTTTGAGCAGAAGTCCTAGACAGGAGACTGGCACTCAAAAGGCTCTGGAAAGCACCGAGTGAATCACTGAAGAGTTACCATAAACCATATGCTGCTGGGACTTTTAACCTTTTCGGCAAACTAAATTCAGGATTTAACTCTAAATAGGAAATAAACATGCACGGAGAAAAACGGAGCCCAAGGGTAAGGTCCTCCAGGCAATCATGCAGGGCCTCAAGTCAGAAGAACACGACTGACTTGCTCTATGAATGGGCTATGGGTCCCTCTGCCTTCCTGTGCCTGAACTTCCTCATTTGTAGAATAGAGTCAGTGGGAACATGCTTCACCGGCCCCTCGAACATTAACAAGATGAGAAAAAGAAAATAAAAAAATCATTCACTGGTTTTCATCAAGAACGCTTAAAAAACATTTTTGTAACATTCTTTGCTTAAGACTTGAGAAAGGGCGCCTGGCTGGCTCAGTCGCTAGAGCATGTGACTCCTGATCTCAGGGTTATGAGCTGGAACTCATGTTGGATGTAGAGATTATTTAAAAAAAAAAAAAAACATTAAAAAAAAAAAAAAGACTTTTATCAGGGAAAATATTCATGGAGTGAAAGTATGGCAACATTTTGCCCCCACCTGAGTAAAAACTAGGCTGACATATAAAAGAAGGGGCGCCTGGGTGGGGGCTCAGTTGGGAGAGCATGTAACTCTTAATCTCAGAGTCTCAGGGTCGTGAGTTCAAGCCTCACACGAGCTGTGGAACCTACTTAAAAAAAAAAAAAAAAGGGAAAAGGAAAGAACTAGGCCAACATACACAGGCAGAATTGATTCTGCAGCAGAGGGGTGAGGAATGATTCAGTGTTGGCTCTGAAGATCAAGTACCTGTGTATTTGATCTGTAACACAGTACCGTTAACACGACGAACAGCATTTATTTGAGAAGGTTAAGTTTATGGTGACAGTTCAACTGACACTTAAACTCTACATTAAAAATAGGCACGATCCACATAACATATATCCCTTCTATATATATCCATTCTATTCATGCCAGCCTCCCTGCTGTGCACACAATAGATGAACTGAACAATTCTGCCATCTAATGGAAGAAACAGTACAATTCTGCCTGCCTGCCTGGCTTTGTTTTGGTAATTCTGCCACCATGCAAAGCTAAAGGAACACAGAAATCCACAGCCTGATGGGAAATGGCCAAGCCCCACTTCTCATCACGTCTGGCTCCTCTCACACCTGCTCTTGTTTGTGGCAATGAGTTATATGTATGTTCGTAACGACAGTTCTTAGCCTGGGGGAAGGAAAGGAAGGGTAGTTTCTGAGTCCTAGTGTTCTTTATGTACTTATTCTAAAATATTTCAAGTGAGCACTTTTGAAAGGAATCCCTCTGAGGGAGAAAAAATACCCCAGAGAGACACTTTCAAGCCTCAACAGGCTGGCTGGCTCTCTTGGGACACAGTCAAAAACTTGGATAAGAAGTTGGGAGACATGATACTATTCTGAACTCTTCCCAACTCATCCTAGACGACGAGCGAATAATCCCCATGTTTCTGAACAGGTGCACGCATGGCCCTATGGACCCCCGGGGTCAGCTGGTTACCGATGGCAGCTATTTGAGGGGCGTCGACTCCTGGGCTGAGATGCTGCGGTGGCTGCCACTTAGGAAACATACCTGTTCGAATTTCCAACCATCAGACATAGTGGAGACCATCTGTGTGAGCTCCTCTTCCTGGCACTGCAGGACTCTGTACACGTGCTTCACGGGGCCCTGCAACAACCAATGGACTTGGGAGAACAATTTCAAGGACAGGACAGTTCGCAGCTGCCCTGGGGAGGCTCATCCAAAGAATGAACACTGAAAAGGAAACTGCTTGGACTTTTCTTCCAGACAGCCATACACTGTCCCCTCTTACAAGCAGTAATGTCATCTTTCTTTTTTTTTTAAGACCTTAGTTTATTAAAAAAAAAAAAAATGCTTACTTTTTATTGTGACACTAAGAGAGCAAGTGCATGTGCGTGTGAGCAGGGAAGGGACAGAGAGAGGGGGGAGAGAGAGAATCCCAAGCAAGACCCCATGCTTCCTGTGGAGCCCGATGAGGGCTCGAATTCACGACTATGAGATCATGAGCAATATCATCTTTCAATAAAAACTTATCCAAGAAAGAAAAGAAAAAGGCCCAAGGATATGAATTAGTGGGTAAAATAATTCTGAAGTTCAGAAAAATGAATTATGTGGTTAGATTTCATCTGTTTCCCAGAGTAGAAAATAGAGGAAAATTGCTTTGGGCAGGAAAGCCCCATTTTCTTTTTAAGTTGTTCCTATTGGACATACATGCTGAAAATGTAGACCATACTTTGGTTTCTTCAGAGTAATACCTTATTATGCCTAATATATTAAATAGGAACCCTGCAACATACCAACGTCCAAACTATTTTCACATTCTGCTGATGGTACCTGAGTGTTTCAGTGTTAAATGGTAACACTGCTGTTACGAAAGTGTGTAACAGAAAATAAGTATTTGGTCTTTGTTCCTGGTTCCTAGCACAGAGCTTCTAAAACCCTTGGAATTTCCTGAGTGATAAAAGTATCTTTTTTTTGTGCCAATGACTGGTCCCCAGAATGACCGAACAAGCACCCTTAGAGGGTTAGAACTTTCAGTCCTACCCACTGACCTCAGCAGAGACTGAATTCAATCACCAGTAGCCAATGACTTAACTGAATCAGTCAGGCCTACTTAATGAAACATCCTTAAATTCCCAACAGTGGGGTTCAGGGAGCTTCCGAGTTGGCAAATGCCTCCATGTGCTGGGCAAGTACATCCCAACTGCACGCACAGACGCTCCTGTGCTCAGGACCCCACCTACGTCTCTCTTCACTTGGCTGTTCCTTAGTCTGTGAGAGATCAACTCTAATAATAAGTTTAGCATTTTCCTGAGTTCTAGGAGTTATTCTAGGAAATTACTGAACCCAAAGGGGGATGTCATGGGAACCCTTGAATTTGTAGCTGAACTGGACAGAAGTACAGCTACCCTACGAACCTGGGACTTGGCGCTGGTGTCCGAAGGAAGGGCAGTCTCGTGGGACTGAGCCCTGAAACCTGTGGAAATAGTTACTACTTATTAGTTAGTGTCAGGACAGGATTAAACTGCTGGACACCCAGTTGGTGTCAGAGATTCAGACAGAAGTCATTTGCTAGTTGACTCAACTTTCTAGAACAGAAGAGAAAGGCGGCATGTCCTAAAGTTGCAGCACTAAGGCTCCTACACTCCAACCACCGGAGGACTCCCACACTTATGACTTGGCCCTTGACGAATGAGAAGCCAGAGTCAGGTGATGGCCAGGGCTGCCGCAGAGAAGCGTGCTCACCAGATGGAGGCTCCTGTTCATTGGAGGACAATTAGAGGCCCACAGGGAGACTCAGTGCTTAGCAGTCTTGGACTACTCGGCGTTGGGTCCAATAAATAGCTGCACATCCATTGCCCATCTTGGAGGCCAGGAGGCATTGGTTAGAGAACAATGACGCTCCATCAGGGAGAGAGGGATCAGTTAGATTCACAGGAATTTAAGAAAATGTGGACTGTTTCCTTAAGAATACTGAAAACTTAGCTTTAGTACTTTTGCAAAAGGATGAATGGGCTTCAGTTATCTGGAAAATTAGTTTTGGAAGAATCACTACTAGGGAAATAGTGGCTCAACAATCGCAGCTGTGGATCACGGAGTGCTATGAGTCCAGAGTGGCTTCCATGGGACACTGGTGTCAGCAAGGCGTTTCGCCTGAGCGAGGCGGCGCTGTTGGGTTGGAGGCAGTTGGGCTGACCTGCCGACTACACTGTGACTACATTGCGCTCTTTCTTCCAAGCTCTCCCCTTCTGAACCAAATGCAACTATTGTTACACAACGTACCAAGAAAAACATTCCCTCCTCATAAAATATAGGGCAAATCTCAGGAAGATTTCAGTTGGCGCTAACCACACATTTTGGAAACCAAGTGTTTTCTGTTAGAAAACTCAGTGCATCATGAAAGATCTACGATACCAGTCATAACTGTCAAAGTCCCAGGTATTTAAGATGCATGTGTTACCTCTTTTTAATTTTTCTCTTCCAAAGTAAACCATGGATGTTCTCAAATGCACCAAGGTCGATCACCTAACATAAATTATTATCAAAGACAGTCAAGTAGTAGAATGGTGGCAGCTGTTAAGAGATATGAAGCATCACCAGAAGAAGGTGGGGTGGGACACCCCCATCTTGGGCTTTGCCTGAATGTCTACCATGTGTGTCTCCTTAAAACACAGACAAGTTGGGCTGCCTGGCTGGCTCTGTCAAGAGGAGCGTGCTGTGGCTCTTGATCTCAGGGTCATGAGTTTGAGCCCCACGGTGGGTATAGAGATTACTTAAAACTAAAATCTTAAAAAAAAAAAAAAAAAGTTAAAGGAGATAATGTGTCTGAAGAGACAGCTACAAAAACACACACATGGCCAACTGGGCCTCAGAGCCATGTGTGACACAGGCAAAAGAGGGTGTCTTTGCATAACCTCAAATCTGCTGCTCAGAGTTTCACTCAATAAAAAGGACAGATGGAAAGATCAATTAACATCAAAAAGGCCTTTACATCCCTAGAACAAAAAAGCTTCCAACTGGGTCTATATCCACAAGCCTTCAGAACCTAGAGGACTAATTAACTTCATCACTGTCATCAAACAGAAATCTTACAATGCTCTCAAGGAATCAGCTAATGGCAAGGAGCTCAGAACGTTCAGGGTTGAATGGCTTCAAGTTACATAATTCATGGCACCATCAAAATTTTACAGTAAGCAATCAAAAGCTTTTTTGGAATGTGGAAAATAAAGGATGAAGCTAGATTTTCAGAATGCCCAGCTATTAAATACCCACAATAGTGAAAGATGCCATGTAAGTTTAATATGAAATGGTGAAAAGACTGGCATCACTAGATCATATTTCATACAGCAAATGGCAAACCAACTATAAATTCACTTTTGAACATTAGAAAGATGTCTTTCAGGGGCGCCTGCGTGGCTCAGTTGGTTAAGGGTCTGACTTCAGCTCAGGTCATGATCTCATGGTTCGCAGGTTCAAGCCCTACATAGGGCTCTCTGCTGTAAGAAGCCTGCTTCGGATCTCTATTTCACCACCCCCCCCATTCCCAGCCCCTCCTCTGCTTGTGCTCTCTCTCTCAAAAATAAACATTTAAAAATAAAAATAGGAGGGGTGCCTGGGTGGCTTAGTCGGTTAAGCGTCCGACTTTCGCTTAGGTCATGATCTCGCAGTTCGTGGTTTCGAGCCCCTCGTCGGGCTCTGTGCTGACTGCCAGCTCAGAGTCTGGAGCCTGTTTCAGAGTCTGTGACTCCCTCTCTCTCTGACCCTCCCCTGCTCACGCTGTCTCTCTTTCTCTCTCTCCTAGAAATAAATAAAAAAAATAAAAAAATAAAAAATAAAAAATAAAAACAAAAATAGGAGCACCTGGGTGGCTCAGTCAGTTAAGCGGCCAACTTCGGCTCAGGTCATGATCTCGCAGTCTGTGGGTTCAAGCCCCACGTCGGGCTCTGTGCTGACAGCTCAGAGCCTAGAGCCTATTTTAGATTTTGTGTGTGTCTCTCTCTCTGCCCCTCCCCAGCTCGTGCTTTGTCTCAAAAATAAAGAAACGTTAAAAAAATTTTTTTAAAGTAAAAATAAGAGACACCAGAGGAGGGCACTTGTGGGGATGAGTACTGGGTGTTATATGGAAACCAACTTGACAATAAACTATTTGTAAAAAAAAGAAAAAAAAAAAGGACACCATTCAGCCAGCAGCCAGCAGGAAGAAAACTAAGGAAGCCCTTCTTCCCACCTTTGCAAATTACTATAGATTAAGTGAATGAGAGATCATTTTTGAAAAAAAGCAAAAACAAAAAAAACAGGTGTCAGTTATTCAACCAGATAATTCCATTTGGAGTTAGAAAACTTGGATATGTGAACTCCAACACAGAAAGAGCAATGAACTATTTTCTATTTTTTTGAGTTTTGAAAACAAAACGTATTACCGTCTTCTTAATCATAGGAAAATTCTACATTGCAATAGACTGGGTCTCAGGAGAGCAGCTACCCCCAGTACCTGATGGGGTGACAGGCAAGTCCTGCTACAAGACAGATGGTCACAGTGGAGACCAACCATGCCCTCCGTCCCTGCGGTGGTGCCATCTTAAAATAGAACCTAAATACAGGAAAGGGAGCATCTGTTTTCCCTGCTGGGCTTCAAGCTTCTAGAAGACATAGACCCTCTCCCAGGAGGCAGAGAATCTCAAGGGTCTAAAAGATGCCACCGTGGCCACTTAAGACATGTGATGGGTGACGTGATGTGAAATAAGCTACCTGTACCTTCTCAGAACTAGGTGGCAAACTGTGTGTTTCTTCTTGCTACTGTATCTACTGTGTTCATAGAAAAACCCAGACCTCATAATAAACAGAGAAGCTTATTTCCTCAGAAGCATGATTCACAAGCAGCTCCTTAAAGTCTAGGCCACGAGACTCGTCTCACGTGGCCATCAGGAGCCAAATGCGACATGGTCATGCTTTAAAAGCCTGGTCCTAATAAAGAGTTAAAGAGTGGCCAACGGGTGGAAGTAAGAGCTCGCTGGGGCTTGACGTGGAGGGAGACACATGCTCTGTGAGAACAGGTTCTGGACCTTAAGTGCAGTGGGCCCCTTCTGCCGCCCCCTCGTAAGCCTCCGCCGCAACCTCCCCACTCTCCTAAAGGGATACGGGGGCTGTTTCGTTTTGTAATTTCTTCTTCTGTTTCCTTGTTCTGAACAAGTCTGGTGGCGTATGTGCTGTCTGCCTGGTGGAAGGCCCATGTTCCAAACAGACTCCAGCTTTGAGGGGAGAGGTAGCCCTTGCCAGGCAGCATCCTTTTCAAATCCCCCACCCAGACATGGGGACAAACAGAGCCACTGAGACCTTTTCCCCTTAAGAGTTCAAAACTGGGGTGTCGGGGTGGCTCAGTCTGTTAAGTGTGCGACTTTGGCTTAGGTCATGATCTTGCAGTTTGTGAGTTCAAGCCCTGTGTTGGGTTCTGTGCTGACAGTTTGGAGCCTGGAGCCTGCCTTGGATTCTGTGTCTTCCTCTCTCTCTGCCCCTCTGCCTCTTGTAGTCTGTCTCTGTCTCTATCTTTCTCTAAAAAATAAATAAACAATTTAAAAAAATTAAAAAAAAAAAAAAGTTCAAAACCTGTGGGGCGCCTGTCTGCTTCAGCTGTGGAACACGTGACTCCCGATCTCAAGGTTGTGAGTTCAAGACCCACGCTGGGTATAAAGATTATTTAAAAAATAAAATCTTAAACAAAAAAACAAAACAAAGAGTTCAAAACCTGTTACCTGAGAAGTTCTGTTCTCATTGTCCCGTATCCTTTCCTTAACCAGCCGCACAAGAGATGCAATGTTGTAAAACTCCGCTTCTTCCAAAACACCTAGGACAAGAACCAGTTCGTACGTAGTTGGAGATGTATTACATTCCCCAGAAAATAATGAGAAGAGGCTAAAGTTTACATGCTTGCTAAGAGCTGCACTTTTTTTTTTGAGAGAGAGAGAGAGAGAGAGAGGGAAAGAGAGAGCGCGCGTGAGCATGCTCAGGGGGAGGGAGAGGAGGAGAGGAAGAGAATTTTTTTTAAGTTTATTTATTTTGAGAGCAAGAGTGAGCATGCTCGAGGGCAGAGAGAAGGAAGAGAGAAAATCCCAGGCAGGTTCTGCACTACCAGCGTGGACCCGGACACAGGGGGGCCAGAACTCATAAGACATGAGATAATGACCTGAGCCAAAATCAAGAGTTGGGGTGCCTGGGTGGCTCAGTCGATAAAGCATCTGACTTTAGCTCAGGTCATGATCTCACAGTTCATGAGTTTAAACCCCCCAGGGCTCCTGTGCTGACAGCTCAGAGCCTGGAGCCTGCTTCAGGTTCTGTGTCTCCTTTCTCTGCCCCTTCTTCACTCACACTCTCTCTCTCAAAAATAAATAAACATTAAAGAAAAAAAAAAAGTCAGATGCCTAACAGACTGAGCCACCCAGGCACCCCTTGAAACTTTTTTTTAGAAATTTTTTTTACGTTTATTTATTTTGAGAGGGAGAGGACAAGGGAGCAGGGGAGAGGCAGAGAGAGGAAACAATCCTAAGCATGCTCTGCACTGTCAGCGAAGAGCCTGATGTGGAGCTCAAACACACAAACTGCGAGATCATGATTGGAGTCAAAGTCAAGAGTGGGACACTCAACTGAATGAGCCATCCAGGTGCCCCTTTTTTTGAATTCAAGAGAGAGAGAGAGAGCAAGTGGGGGGAGAGGGGCATAGAGAGAGAGTGAAAGAGAATCTGAAGCAGGCCCCCCACTCAGCTCAGAGCCTGACACAGAGTTTGATCTCACAGTCTTGAGATCATGACCTGAGCCAAAATCAAGTAAGAGTCTAACACTCACCTGACTGAGACACCCAGGTGCCCCTGAACTGTACTTTTCAAATGGAAGTCTAGTCTCTCTCCTTCAGCCTAGGAAACATTTCGTCGCTGTATAGGGTGTACCCACTCCCTTCTCCTCAAAGTGAGTGAGTCAAGTTCTGGGTCTGCTCTGTTCACTCTGTTTCATCCCTGCGGTTTCCCATTTGGCATCGCCTCTGACTCTCCTTGCACCTGCCCATTAGCTGCAGGGCACCTTTCCCATATGTCACTTAGTTCCTGGAACTTGTCACATTGGAGAACTCCCGAGCTTGTAATGCTTACCTAGTTGGTCCTAAAAATTACTGGGGGTGGGTGTGTGTATCTAAATTTATATGGACCAAATTTTAATAGGGTGCTTATTATTTGAACAAGATAAAAAGCAATCACTGAGAGAATGCTGTGCTAAGTAAAATCAAAGGCCATGGACAGGACAACCAAGGGGGTGTGTGATTCCGTATCAGGAAAAAAAAGCTTGCTATAAAGGATGTTCCTAGAACTGATAAAATTGGAATATAAGCTGTAGATAAAAGTATTTATCAATATTAAATTCCCTGATCTTGATAACTATACCGTACTTACATAAGGGAATATCCTTGTTCTTGGGAAATACACTGAAGTATTAAGGAGTGAATCTGTAATCTAGTCTCAAATAATTCAGAAATAAAAACTATGATGGGGGTGAAGGAGAAGTGCAAGACAGGGGACAGAGATAGAACAGAGGATAACATGGATGACAAAAAATGGTGGTGAAGCTGAGAGTTCCCTATGCTATACTCTCCCTTTTCTCTGAATTTGAAAATATTAAAGGGGCGCCTGGGTGGCTTAGTCGGTTGAGCGTCCGACTTTCGCTTGGGTCATGATCTCGCGGTTCGTGGGTTCGAGCCCTGCGTCGGGCTCTGTGCTGACTGCCAGCTCAGAGCCTGGAGCCTGTTTCAGTCTGTGACTCCCTCTCTCTCTGACCCTCCCCTGCTCACGCTGTCTCTCTCTCTCTCTCTCCTAGAAATAAATAAAACATTAAAAAAAAAAATTAAAAAAAAAAGAAAAGAAAATATTAAAAAAAATTTTTTTTAAAGGACTTCAGAAAAGATGCTTAAGATTCCTTTTTTCCAGAAACAAGATTATCAATGAGATGGTAACTAAAGAGGCTAGATGGGTACATGACATTTATTGTACTATTCCCATTATTTTCGAATGCACCTGAGATGTTGAAAAAAGAGAAAGCATGTGCACAAGGACTCTTTTTACTAGCTGAAACAGATACGCTTTGCAGCCACTTAGTTAACTAGCACGGCCATTACAGCTTTCTTACTCAGAACTAAAGCTTTCAGGTCAGGGTGCCCTGGATTTAGGGAGAGGCCCCAATCTTCAACGGAACGCCTTTGGCGAGACCACACCAAGCCTTTTGGAAAGATGTCTAGACCTGCTTACGGTCCGAATGTCCTACCAACCAAAGATGAGGATACAGCTGACAATGGGCTGGGGAATGAATTAGGTCAGCTGCAAAAATTTACAAGGAAGCATGAGACCAGTCTTACAAGAAATGAGGCCAAGCCTTTATTATTTTTTACAGCTGCAAGTTCAAACTAAAAGTGAAAATATAAATAATTAATGTCAGAGATGTGGTGCTTCAGGGTATGGACATTTCACTGCCAGCAAGCACATAAGCGAAAGTAAAGAGGGATCCAGACAATTCTGCAGGTTTGAAAAATGCTCCTGAAGCGATCTGCAAAGCTGACTTACCTATTTTCCTTCTCATTAAGGAGGCTGTGAGCCCAGTGGGGATCCCTTAAATAAGACCTCCTCAGATAAGAGGAGATAACTAGAGACTCTCTGCTCATTTATTTCCTTCCTTCCTTCCTTTCTTTTTTAATGTTTATTTTTGAGAGATGGAGGGAGACAGAGAATCTAAGGCAGGCTCCAGGCTCCGAGCTGTCAGCACAGAGCCCGACATGGGACTCAAGTCCGCCAACCATGAGATCACGACCTGAGCCGAAGTTGGACGCTCAACTGACTGAGCCCCCCAGGCGCCCCCCTGCTCACTTTCATAAACCTTTACTACACCTGCACGTGACCTTGATGAACATCTCAAACAAAATTCCAATCTGTGAGACAGCTTTCAAGACATGGGCTGTGTTTTGAAAATGTCCAGTTCAAACGCTGTTCTTACCTTCTTCAGCCAACTCCTTCGTAATGATGAGTTTCCCATGGCGGAGGTAGTTTAGGATAGGACCGAAGTAGGTGGGGTCCCTGTCAATCAGATAGGCTCCTGTCTCATCCTGCCAACCAAACACAAAGATACCACTTTGGAGCTTTCGGACTAAATCAGGGCAGGGTTCCAGCCTCTCTGTCACCACTCATTAGCAAGAGGACAAGTTTTGCTAGACATTGCTTATCAGAAACTACTGGCAAGAAGGCCAGCTTATGTTTCTTGTACTCAGATCATTTCAGGTGCGGTGTTACAGACAGATGTACAGTCATCATGCAGGCATTTACTTGAACTTCCAAAATCTTTTTTTTATATATATATTTGTTTATTTTGAGACGGAGAGAGAGAGAGCGAATGGAAGAGGGGCAGAGAGAGGGAGACAAAGAATTCCAAGCAGGCTCCGCAGCTGCCAGGGCTGGAACCCATGAACCAGGAGATCATGACCTGAGAGCTGAAACCAAGAGTCAGATGTTTAATTGAATGAACCACCCAGGTGCCCCTGAACTTCCAAAATCTTTACTTGGACACAATAACCACCAATCTTTTGAGAGATATCTGTTATCAAGAAAGAGGAAGAAAATGCTGTATTTTAATTACTTAAATCTTTGCTTGAGATGGACATTTTGACTTCCCTCTACTGCCCCCAAATCACATTCCTAATTCTAAGAAAACCTCTGTATAGTTGGCAATGCTCCTGAGCTCAAGGCCAACATCAGTGGGAGTCTGCATTGCCAGCTGTAGCTCACACACCCCAGTTCTGTGCCCAGAGGAAGCTTGGCACTTCCAGGACTTGGCTCTGAGCAGCTTTAATCCTACTCATCTTTACAGTAAAAGGAACAAGAAGAAACTGGCTTCTGCAACAAGAAAGATTTAGGGTAGATAAAAATAATTCCTTTATAAGCAAAGGTTTTGTAATTTCTTTAAAGTTCGGGCAGGACGGGTTTCCAGAAGTCAGATTTATTAGAGGAGAGGCAGTTGGTGAATAAAAAAACAAAACAAAACAAAAAAACACACCAAAAAACCAGCGAATCTTTACCCAACCCCAACTCTATTTCAATGTAACTGGCTGAGTGCTATATAGGATATACGGTGGTATAAGCCATGGTCAATGCCTTTAAGCTGGCAACTGAAAGATGAATGTGTAAAGTTAATAAGTAAACGACACTTCAAACTGGAAAAGGGTGGGAAGTGTCTCGTCACCTCTCAACTTTCTGTTAGCAGCCATGCATCTTGTCCAACAGCATCCTCAGTTTTCATTTTCCGATGGTCTTAACCAGTCAGCTTAGGTTTACACTGGCAACTGGCAATCTGTTTCCAAGGAATGTATCTGAGCTCTAATATAGTCTTAAAACAGCGACTGTCACCAGATAAGAGCTCAGGGCCCAGGACCACAGGAAAGAAGTGTGGTATCACGAGAAACACTTCCTGCAGCTGTCAGACCCAGGCTTTCACCCAACTTGGCAGAGGGGTCCGAGAGGAAGTCTGAGAAAGCTAGAAAGATGCCTTGGCTCACCCTGACCCAGTTCTGGACGCATCTGGCACAGGCAGTGAGGGGCTGACGAGGAGCCAGGGGAAAACTCATGTAGATCGGAGGGGCGGGTATTAGAGGTGTACGGAGAAGGGGTGTGGAGTGGGTTCTCGTGGGTGCGGGTGGGCACGGCGTGGGGACCGAGTTGCTGCGAGTGAAGGGCGGGGTCAGAGACAGCCGGGGTGCGACTGAAGATGGGGGAGAATGACGCCCAGGGCCAGCCTGGCGGGGGAGGGACGGCAAGGGGGTCCGGGCCCGAAAAGCCCGTGAGGAGAGTGTCGCAGGAATCTGGGGACGAGCTAGGAGGAACGAGGGGGTCCGAAGAGCGGGGGCGCGCCCGAGGGCGGGGCGCACCTTGTCCGAGTCCAGCTCCGGGTCCTCCTGGCAGCAGAGGCGACAGAGGAAAGACTTGGGCTCCCGGCCTAGGGTCTGTCTGGTGGTCACGAAGTAGGTGCCGCCCACGTTCAGCCGGACCCAGCGGGCCGCACCGCCTCCCCCTGCCCGCTCTGGCGGTCCGGGACCCGGTTCCAGCGGTGGCGCGGCGGCGGCGGGCGGGCGGCCGTGCCCGCGGGGCGTGGGGCCGGCCGGGCGAGGGCTGGGGGGCCCGCGGCCTGGGCCACCCCCGTCGCCCAGCCCGCTCCCGCCACCCCCTCCCAGCCCCGCCATCGCCGGGTCCAGCTGCAGCTCCGCCATCTTGGGCCGCCGCCGCCACCGCTGCCCGCGCGCCGCCGGGCCGGCCCATCTCTCGGCAGGGAGAGCCGGGCCGGCCCATCGGCGGGGGTGGGGCCGGGGGAGAGGGACGGGAGCGCCCCCAACCAGCTCCCGGGGACCCGTGCAGGGGAGGTGCCGCGCCCGCCCTTGGGGGCGGGACTTCCGGAACCAGCCTCCATTTCTACGGGATGACCGGCGAAGCAAGGCCCTCCCCTTTCGCGTTGGGATTGGCTCAGGGAGGCTTTCCGGTGACCCACTTCCGTTCCTTGCTGCTTTGGACTGTGGGCCGCCCGGGTAGGTGAAGGTGAGTGGGGTTTGGGGCGTTGGGTCCGACGCTGGCCGGCTGCCCTGCTTTGCCTCCTTCAGACCTTGCGCAGACCCTTGTCGCACCCCTGACGAGGACGCCCGGCCCTGTCGTTGTCCCACTGGCAGAGTGTCCGGGTGTAGTTGCAGCCGCCGCTCTGCTCCGCGCTCCCTTTCCCCTCCTCCGCGCGAGGTCGCCGGGGTCGCTTCGCCACCTCTGACTGAGGTGCTTCCACGCACCTGATCTGTTTCGGTCCACTCCCACCGCGGCCGACATCGGCAGTCCGTTCTGGGGGCTGGGGAAATGTTACCCCGAGATGGTATTAACTTGTTGAGGGACTCTCAGTCTTTTCCTCTTGAGGGTTCCAGCATTCGAGAGTGTGGAAGGTTCAGAGCAAGACAAAAGCGCCATCATTTATGAAGCCTGCCTGCGCTGGTGCTTGGAAAAGTCTCTGTCAAAGCGCTTATTTCTCTGGCGTTTTTAAGGGTCACCTGCTCATCACTTCCACTCCTGGAAACCAGCTATACCTGAGAGGGAAAGAAAGCAAGAGGCAGGTGTTGGAACAGTTTAAGATTCCGAAGAGGATTTCTTCCACCTCCCTTGTGATCCACCCCGTAGTTCGTAAAGACTTTTGACATTCAGTCTTTCTCCTAATGTCTGTTATTGATCTTAAGTTTAGTTTGACTATTTTCTCATTTTTTTAGTTAAAAAAAAAAAAAAAGGCTGTAACCACTTTCCATATTCTCTCACATTCACACATATCGAATACCTATGTTAAAGTTATTGCTAGAATGCACAGGGCATGTGCTAGTGCCGCAGAGGATAATCAGACCTGAATAAGAAAGTGCAGGTATTACCAATCCGGTAGGGAGGGGATAGAGAGCTTCTTAAGCTTGTATGAGACTGTAGGGCACATTGGCGGGCACAATTTCACTTGGTGCTTTCTAAAAAAAACTTTTTAAATGTTTATTTTTAAGAGAGAGAGAGACAGAGTGCGAGTGGGAGGGGGGCAGAGAGAGAGAGAGAGAATCCAAAGCAGCCTCCAGGAGCTCAACGTCAGCACAGAGCCCAATGCAGGGCTGGAACCCATGAGCTATGAGATCACGACCTGAGCTAAAGTCCGATGCTTAACCGATAGAGCCACACAGGTGCCCCTTACTTGGTACTTTTAACAGACTTTTGAGATAAGCAGGGCCAGTATTATCCCCATTTTTTAGATGAGGAAATTCCGGCATAGGGTCTGCTCTATTTAAGCTTTGCTGAACTCAGGTTCTGTGCACTGGATAGAATCAGTGAATAAAATGCACTTAATCTGGGCAGAAATGTATTTAAATGATTAACTTTTGTGCAATGCATGAGTATTACTTTAGCAATGTTTCCGAAGATGTGTGAAGAGCAAACACTAGAGAACTGGGCTTTTAAGTATGAGTAGGAGTTGGGGAATAGAGGGGGACAGGCTCAGGGGAGATAATGTAGTTATATGCCAGGTTCCATGCCTTGAATTTGAAAAGCTAAACAGTCCTTATTTAGTAATCCTGATTCCTTTAGTTGATAGTCACCAAGTGTTCAGATGCTGCTGCTCTATTTCTTAAAGATTTTCATATTTCTAAGGTGCCCTTTAGAGGATTCACGCTAAGAGCCCCCCCCTTTTTAATAGTTTATTGTCAAGTTGGTTTCCATATAACACCCAGTGCTCATCCCCACAAGTGCCCTCCTCCATGCCCATCACCCACCCTCCCCTCCCCTCCCCTCCCATCTGCCCTCAGTTTGTTCTCAGCATTCAAGAGTCTCTCGTGGTTTGCCTCCCTCCTTCTCCCCCACTATTTTTCCCCTTCTTCTCCCCCATGGTCCTCCGTTAAGTTCCTCCTAATCCTCCTATACATGCAAACATATGGTATCTGTCCTTCTCTGTCTGACTTATTTCACTCAGCATAACACCCTCAAGTTCCATCCATGTTGCTACACATGGCCAGATTTCATTCTTTCAAATTACCATGTAGTATTCCATGGTATAGATAAACCACATCTTCTTGATCCATTCGTCAGTTGATGGACACTCAGGCTAAGAGCCCTTTTTTGATCTGATCTGTTTTATCTTCCAGAATCTCGAGATGGCTGGGCGAAAACTTGCTCTAAAAGCCATTGACTGGGTAGCTTTTGGGGAGATCATACCCCGGAACCAGAAGGCCATTGCTAACTCCCTGAAGTCCTGGAACGAGACCCTCACCTCCAGGTCAGTACCATTCTGAGAGGGACCATCTTAACTTGCTATGAATGTGGAAGCAAAACAGTGCTTTGGAATTACATACGAATTTCCAATGCTCTTCTGGTGTAAAGTAATTCATATATTTTACAAATGAAAGTAGTTTTTTGGCATTCCTGTGATCCCTCTCCTAGAGAAAAGTGTGATGACAGCTCTAGGCCATAGGAATAAGGAACAGGGAAAGTGCTGTGTGAATGTTCTGTTGCTCATAGAACAGTCTTAACTTTTTTTTCCTCATGTGAGCAGGTTGGCTACTCTCCCTGAGAATCCACCTGCTATCGACTGGGCTTACTATAAGGCCCATGTGGCGAAGGCTGGCTTGGTAGATGACTTTGAGAAGAAGGTGAGACGTCGGGCAGCTAAAGCAGTGGTCTTGTGGCTTGTGGGTACGGAGTAGAACAGGAAGTAATTACATCCACGCAGGATGACACCGTGGAAAGAGGGGTGCTGTTAACAGGTCCCATATTAAATAAATATAATTTTACTCTTGGGGAAAAAAAACCAAATAGATCCCAAAGGAAGCTCAGGAAAAATGGGTGTGGCCAAAGGTCTTGAGGTGGTAGATGTATATGGTAAATGCATAGAATTCAGGGTGTATTCATTGGCAGGTGTCTTACTCAAAGAAACAGCCCATACAGGGGCACCTGGGTGGCTCAGTTGGTTGAGCATCTGACTTAGGTCATGATCTCACGGTTTATGGGTTCGAGCCCTGCGTCGGGCTCTGTGTTGACAGCTAGCTCAGAACCTGGAGCCTGTTTCTGATTCTGTATCTCCCTCTCTCTCTGACCCTCCCCTGGTCACGCTGTCTCTCTCTCTCTCTCTCTCTCTCTCTCTCTCTCTCAGAAATAAATAAAACATTAAAAACAACAAAGAAACAGCCCATACAGCCTTAATCAGGGAGCTAGAGGGCTGTGAAGTTAAATGTTTCCATCCCACTCTTCTTGAATTATTTTTTTGCCCCTCACCTGTCTCCCTAACACCTTTTTCTACCCTTTCATTGTTTTTCTCCTCTTTCTGCTCCTTTTTACTGTGTCTCATGGCTTCATTTCTCATCCATCAATCTCCTCTTCTGCTGTTTACATGTTAAAACTCAGTATCCGAAATTTATTTATTTATCTATTTGACAGATGCTTTTCAAAGGCCTGCTCTGTGCCAGGTGCAGTGCTGGGGCTGTGGGATTAGGCAGTCATCTAAGGAGACCGTCTCTGTCTCTTTTCTGCACACATTACTTCTGCCAGTCAGTCCATTAGGGTTTCGTTTGAAAGAAGAATCAGAGTTTTTTTAGACTACAGAGTTCTAGGAGGCCGTTTTCGAGATCATCAAATGCAACCGTCCTTTTCAGACGAAGAAACTGAAGCTCATTGTCATAAAGAATTGTCCAGTTAGTGACAGGACTGAGAACCTTGAGCTCTTGTTTGCATGCTAATGTTCATTCTACTGTAACACTCTAGATGCGTACTGGTTTTCTCTTGGGATGGAGAATGTTTTTATCTAGAAGGATTGGCAGTTTTGAGCCCTTTCTTGGACTCCCGGGTATATTAGTAACAATTGTGTCTGTGTTTGTAGTTTAATGCCCTGAAGATTCCTGTGCCAGAGGATAAATATACTGCCCAGGTGGATGCTGAAGAGAAAGAAGATGTAAGTAGTTGAGACTCTTATTTTAAAATTCTCCTAATTCCTGATTGCTCTGCATTTCTTAGAAGTTAGGTGAAGTAGAGTGAATTAAAAGAAGTAATAAAATAAAACTCTAGAAAATGCAAGTAATCTATGGCAGCTACTGAAGCAGTTACCTGGGAATGGGAGGGAAGGGGTTGATAAATCTGTTCAGTGTCTTACTGTATTGCTGGTGTCACAGGTGGATACACATGTCACAACTTTAATTATATGCATTTTATTGTATGTTAGTCATACCTCAACTAGGCTGTTAAAAATAATTAAGGAGTTAGAATTAGGTAGGGAAATTATCCAAGGTAGCAGGCAAATACCTAACTATTTGCTTGAAAGTATGAAAGCCAAATGTGGGAACACAGGTGGCTCCACCGAAGAGAAGTCTGGCGAGGCCATCAGCCGGCTTATCCTGACTGTTCAGTAACCAGCCCCTGTGAAATACTGGCATTTTGTAGGTTGTCTAGATGAGCAAATTGTTGACGAACCCTGGTCCTGCTATCATAAGCTGGCTCTCCCGTATGGCCTTCTTTGTGCATTTAGGAAAAGCTATAGTTTACTTCCCAAAGCACGCTCGCCCCAGGAGTCCGCATGTGCAGGAGTCTGCCCGGAACGGGAAGGCAAGAGCGGTGGGCTCTGGGACTTTTCTCTTGGGAGCCTCAGAATCAGGACAGTACAACCTGGTTTCAAAACAGAACGTCTCCCTTCTCTTTAAGGTGAAAAGTTGTGCTGAGTTTTTGTCTCTCTCAAAGGCCAGGATTGAGCAATATGAAAAAGAGGTAAGAATGAGCCTTGGCCTTTGTCTGTAATATGTTTTCTCTGTCTCTCACAGCCACACTCCTTTTACCCAGTGGCAGTAACATACCTTGCATTCATTTTTGCATCTCTGTGGCCCTCTTTACCTTAACCCAGTTCTTCCTCCTTCCAGCTAGAGAAGATGAAGAACATAATTCCGTTTGATCAGATGACCATTGAGGACCTGAATGAAGTCTTCCCAGAAACCAAATTAGACAAAAAGAAGTATCCCTACTGGCCTCACAAGCCAATCGAAAATTTATAAACTTGAGTTGGGGAGAAAGCTCTGGCCCTCGAATTATAAACTCTGGACATTAAAAATAATGATACGGTGCCATGTGTCTGTTCCTTTGCAGTTGAGATAGTTATAACTCTGAGGTGCCCTCACTGGAAGTGGTCTTTATATTAAACTGGAAAGGTGAGCCTACAGGTGTGTGCTGGTCCAGTTATCTCATGGTTAGGAAGTATAGGAGCCAGTTAGCCCCCACTTCGTCTTTGCTTTCAAACCACTGGTTCCTAAGCAGTGAGTGCTCCCTTATGCTTGTCCGTAAGTCAGTCATGAGGATAGATGTCTACATTGCAGACGTAACAGCAGGGTGAGTAGCAAGCAGAGATCTCCTTTTCTCTTTCAGTTCTTCAGCATAAATGTGAGATAAAAGGAAATTTTGTTGCAAAGTTAAAAGCTAGTACAGCTTTGTATTTGAACATAGAAAATTATTTTAATTCCATCATTTCATTAAAAAAATTCCCACTATTGATCTTGGTTAGCAGGACTTCTGAGCAGTGCCAGGAAATACAGGTGGTTTAAAATAAAGTGAGGGGCAGGCATTCGGCCAGCTTAGTGGGTAGAGCATGCGACTCTTGATCTCTGGGTCTTGAGTTTGAGCCCCACCTTGGGTGTAGAGATTACTTTAACAAAAAAAAAAAGAAAAGAAAGAAAGGAAAAAAAGAAGTGAGGTGATAGAAAGCTTTCTATTGCCCTGAGGTTAGAGGACCTTATATGCCTACCATTTTACTCTTGACCATTTAATTGCTGGTTTTAGTCTCCTTGTTTACTGTCTTAGGATTTGTCTTTTCTCATTCACAATGATCAGGATAATAATGAGAATTAAATGTGAAGTTTCCAGGTAAGCATCGGTTTTGAGCAGAGATGTCTGACCGGATAAGGCTTAAATCCTGTAGGACAAACCTGCAAGAGGAGAGGCAGCATGCACAGACTGACAGTTTTGTTGACATTGCTTACAAAAGATTTGCAGATGGGCTGTACTGGAGAAGAGCAACAACGGCTGGTAGTGCTTAGAAAGCGATGCGGTCTTAAAGGGCATAAGCAGAGGAGAGCCTAGGCACTGTCACCCCTGATCGTAGGGGCAGGCGCTATGCTGAAGGTAAAAGGTCTTTTAAGGGGTAAGGGGTGTCCACTTAGAGCTACTGTAGTTATGACAGTCTGTGATGTAGCTGTGCCAGAAGGCCTTTCATGCACAAAGCAGAAATTAGTACCACACACTCTCCGAATCCCTCATTCACTTGGCGCTACGAAGGATTCATACAAGTGAAACACGGGATCTGAGAAAAAGCTGTTCAGTTTGCTTTTGGAGTGTGGTTAGAGCTCCCCTTCAAGGGGGAACCCAACGCCCACTCTGAGGAAGTCTTGTAACAGAAGTCCCTAGCAGTGGAGGGAGAACCCTTTGGAAGACTTACTGGAAGAGACACAAGTGAACCACTGAGAACATGCTCTCTGCCCAAGGCACTTGCATAAGATTGGGGCACAATTTAATTTGTTGATTAATTGTATCCCCTCCAGGGTTGTTTGCAGTTTTTTGCATTGAGCATGCATTGATTTTTACATAAAAATTAATCACTGGGGGCACCTGGCTGGCTCAGTTTGTGGAGTATGCAACTCTTGGGTCAAGCCCCACATTGGATGTTGAAATAATTTAAAATCTTAAAAAAAAATCACTAGTGAAATAGGATTCTGTTTTTCAAATCAATAGAAAAAAAGAGCAAAAGTTAAAGATAGAAATCGGCAAAAACGAGGGCATCTGGGTGGCTCGGTCTGTTATAAGCACTTGACTCTTGATTATGGCTCAGGTCATGAACTATGATCTCATGAACCAGGAGATTGAGCCCTGCATCTGGCTCTGATTTGACTCCAAGGAGCCTGCTTCAGACTCTCTGTACCTCCCCATTCATGTGCATGCTCGCTTGCTCTCTCTCTAAAATGTCTTCCATTAAGAAAAAAAAACAGAAGTAGCATAAATACAGAAACATACTTTGGATAATGTGGGTCAGTAAAGACCCCCATTAGGAGGCAAATATTCACACTCGGTCAGCCCAAAATCCAACCACAAGCTGTCCATCCAAAAAAAAAAGGTATCAAGGGTTTTAATTTATTATTAAAAAAACAGGCACCTTAGGAGTACCTGGGTGGCTCAGTTGGTTAAGCGTCTGACTTTGGCTCAGGTCAGGATCTCAACAGTTTGTGAGTTAAAGCCCCGCATAGGGCTCTCTGCTGTCAGCGCAGAGCCTGCTTTTGGATTCTCTGTCTCCCTATCTCTCTGCTCCTCCCCTGCTTGCGCGTGCGCGCGCGCTCTCTTTTTCTCTAACAAACAAACATTAAAAAGGAAAAGAAACCTGGCACTGAAGGGGAAAAAATTAAGCATTTATCCTGCCTTTTAATTTTTTTAAAAATGTTTTAAACATTTATTTATTAAGAAACAGAGAGACAGAGCATGAGCAGGGGAGAGGCAGAGAGAGACACACACAGAATCTGAAGCAGGCTCCAGGCTCTGAGCTGTCAGCACAGAGCCCGACGTGGGGCCCAAACCCACAAATCGGGGGATAGTGACCTGAGCTGAAGTCAGACGCTCAACTGACTGAGCCACCCAGGCGCCCCTATCCTGCCTTTTTAAACAACTGTATTTTGGGATAAACTGATAGACATAATTAATGAAAAGTTCTTTACAAAGTATTTCAGCTAATAAATGTCGAAAAGAGTATTAGAAAAGTCACTATTCTGTAATCCCTAAAGAAATAGTTAACTCAGGCAAAGCGCTCATCAGTGGATGAAACCATTACATGAAAGGTTGAGGAACTTGACCATGATCAGGCTGTTACCTCCTGATGCCAAGGCTATCTCCTGAACCTTCTGATCTACCATATTAAATACATAGCACTATTTGAAATCAGTTTTTTTTTCCCCCAAAAAGTTGAACCTGAATTTAATCGAGGCATTGAAACTCACTAACAATTGAAAGGAACTATCTGGGACAATCCCAAGAAGGTTCTGTGCTGTTAGTGCAGGGCCCAAAGCGAGGCTTGATTTCATGAATGGAACCAGCCGAACTGTGAGATCATGATCTGAGCCAAAATCAAGAGTCAGATGCTCAACCAACTGAACCACCCAGGTGCACCGAGAAGAAATATCCAGGATAGAAGAACAAGTTAAATGACACCATGAAGAAGTAAAGATAAATCCAAAATATGAGACATTTGACCATTGTTTTTCAACAAGTCAGTGGTATGGGGGAAGGTAAGAGGGAAGGCAGCTTACCCAACATCCAGACTTGGTGTGTAACCTTATTTGGATCCTGGTTGGCACCAATCAACTGTGAAAAGATAATTAAGAGATGAATGTTGAAATATGTGAATGTCTACTGGGGTGAAATCATACAATGTCTGGGATTACTTTAGAATACCTCAGAAAAGGGGCTCCTGAGGCACCAGGGTGGCTCAGTTGGTTAAGCATCTGACTTTTGGTTCCAGCTTGGGTCACGATCTCAGGGTTTGTGGATTTGATCCTAGAGTCGGGCTCTGGTGCTGGCAGTGGCAAGCCTGCTTGGGATTTTCTCTCTCCCTCTCTCTCTGCCCCTCCCCCAATTGGGTGTGTGCTTATGCACACTCTCTCAAATAAATTTTTAAAAAAGAGAGAAAAGGGGCTTCTGGCTGGTTTAGTTGGGCACCCGACCCTCGATTTCAGGGTTGTAAATTCAAGCCCCATATTAGGTGTAGACATTATTAACAACAACAACAAAACCCCCTAACGCTTTATGGGGAAAAAGGATAAAGGAATTAATGCAGCAAAAGTGAAAAAAATCCTGATGACTGATAAATCTAGGTTGGTTCATTCACTATTCTCTGGTTTGGGGTATGTTTGAAATCTTTCACAATACACATGTTTAAAGGATGGGCAAGAATGTAGACTTATATTACCATCTATGACACACATAACTGTGTCAAATGTAATTCTTTTTAAAAAAAACTTTTTAAATGTTTTATTTATTTCTGAGAGAGACAGAGTGAGCAGGGGAGGGTCAGAGAGAGAGAGTGAGACACAGACTCTGAAACAGACTCCAGGCTCTGAGCTAGCTGTCAGCACAGAGCCTGACACGGGGCTCAAACCCACGAACCGTGAGATCACGACCTGGGCCGAAGTCGGACGCTCAACTGACTGAGCCACCCAGGCGCCCCCAAATGTAATTCTTAAAGGGAACAGTAAACATGAAAAATGATTGGAACCTTGATGTGCTGAAAAAATTAAAATATATGAAGCATCAAAATATATAAAGCAAGAAAAGTTTTAAAAAATCGCTAGAAGCATAACATTTGTAAAGATTTTAACACACCTATTTTGGCATTTGCAAAGCAAATGAGACTATAGCAGACTAATAAAAAGGCTCACTTAGCTTATATACTAAATTCTATGTCATACAAACAAAATAACTGGAAAGTGATAATGTTAGACAAGAAAGCTTCAAAATAAAAAAAAGAAACGTCAACTGATCCCAGAGCAAATGTTACATAAAATCAACAATTAATAGCTAAAGTATAAATTACAATGACACGAAACAATACAAAAATGCAGGAAACAGAAACTTCATTTTCATGAATTCCAACGAAAAACCAAGCAAGTAAAGAATGTTGGAAGATAAAGATAACCCAAACATTTCATAGAAATGTTCAATCCTAGAGGATTAGACAGATCTAGAGGATTCTAGAAGATTCTTTGTTGAGTTCTAGCATTATACCTTAGTCATGTCTATATTCCCCAGGGCTTAGCACTGTGCTTGGCATTCAAAAGAATCTTAATATGAATTCATAATGAATGAAGGAAAAGAAGAGATTTGGGCTTTTAGGGATTCACATCTAGCTAAGAGAATATCACATATAAACCTTGAATAATGGGGCAAAATACTCTGTTAGTAAATGATGACAGTCATGACTTAGAGAGTCCATACTGTGTTCCAGGCATCCTACTCACTTTACATAAAGATCATCTCATTTACTCCCCACAACAACCCAAATAGTGTATCAGTCATATTCATCAGTTTACTTGTT